AAAGAAAATCTAGAAAACAAATTGTAATCTCCATTAATTAGCACATATTATACTAACCATATTTGAGATCTTATAAATATTTAGCAATACAAAACTTTAGATTTTAAATGTACTAACCATATTTTGAATTGTTTAAATATAAATTAAAAACCATGTTTACTTATCAAATGTGCACACAATAATAATTAATATCACCTAAAATATAGATATTTCTAATTCAAAAAATAACATAATTATAGGAACAAAAAAAATTACGAATGCAATTAAAGAACATTGTTAAGGTAGTCCATAATCGTAATTCGAAAAAATAAAATATTATCCAAACTATTTTTCATAAAAAGTATGATGAGAAATAAAAGTAACGAGAGGAGATCATAAAATCAAGAAACTAAATTCAATTTCAATTTTCAAATATCAAATAACATGTATGATACATGAACAAAAAATTTGAATTGTTAATTTTAGTTTTAACTATTTTATTTCAAATATCAGAACATGAAATAACAGGTACGGGAAATTTGAAACATAAAAAAATCATCTAAACTATTCATGATAGAATATGAGATGAAAATTTTGGGTAACGTGAATTTAAGAAGAACATATGGAGACATGCTATTTACTAAAGTGGATTACAGGAAATGTATTTTTTGCGGGTCAAAATATTTTAATATGTATTTAGTGTGGAGCATGCATAGCGGACGTATTTGATAGCTCACGGTTCACACTCAGTCTGGATCTGCTATCCTGTCGATCCGATATTCACAAACTTCATGAACGCAAACCAATATTAGTTTATGTTATAAATGCTATAGTGGATAAATATGTCTACAAATAGAACCCTACATTTATGTGTAAGTATAAATCGTTGACCTATTTTCTTATATGTTTGACTAAAATATACAATCTCAAATGGGTAAATAATTAAAATGCTTATGGATTGGAAAAACATGACATATTAAGACGCACGAGACAAGATTTATGTCCCGAAATTGACAAACTACAATTGTTTTACTATTTTTTAAGGTACAAGTACAACTGTCTTTAATAAAACATATTCGTATCGTTTTTTTTGTTTAACCTAATTTAAAAAAAATCAAATATTGACTTGATACTGGTTTAGATTATAAATGTTAGTAAATTTCCTAAAAGTTACGTTTACAAACATAATCCCGTACGTACATAATATATTTGAAAATTTTATAACAAATTTTGTTTTTGAAATCAATCCCGCACGTACGTGCGGGTCCAAATCTAGTTTTCTATAAAAAAAAACTAGATACGTTCAAATAAAAAATAGATGAAATACTTTTAAGCTCTTTTTCTCCTGATCTGAAACATCACAGTTTCTAGTTTCTACAATTTGTTGCTCCACCCATTTTTTAAAAAAACCTTTAAATATTAATCATTTATTTTATTTAAAAAAACAAATCTTAACGAGTTTTCGATCCATTTGTTTATTTTTTGTGGTCAGTCAAACGGCACATTGACCGAAGATTATGGTGTGCATTGTTTTAGTGGACACGAGGTTTTAATTAGGAATTGAATATTCATCTACCCATGTGTTTGATGGACATTCAATATTATATCCACCTTCATTTTCTTTGTACCATTTAACCTTCAAATCCTTAAACCCTTAAACAAGAATTCAAATGAAATATTAAACTAACTTAGAAAATTGTTTTCTTGCTTCATTGATTGAAATGGTAACACAATCATCTAAGCTTTCAAAGATTAAGATTTAGATAACAGTTGCTCAAGATTAGGATCAAATAATCAAACTTGATAGAGAGAAGAAAATTTTGGTTAAGTATGTAATCAAAAGAGAAAATTTTGGTTAGGAAACCAGAAACTGATGAGTGGATCATAAAAAAAGCCAAATCAATCTCTGTGACGACTCTGCAAAGAATCCTCCAAATCAAGATCAACACCAACACGATTCCAAATCGAAGCATTTGCGTGGCACGAAGAGTTAGAGCAAGACGTTACCTTCAACTTGTTCTCAAGTTCCTTAAACTTCTCAACATCAAACTTATGACTCTTGAGCAACTTCCTCTGCCTAGAAAGGAACAGCCTTTTCATGAAATCTTGATACGTTGGGTCTCTTGAAGTCATCAAGAAGTAAGCATAACCAACAATAATACCAGTAGCTGTAGTGAAAAAAGTTATAGGTTCCATCACATCCCAAGAAAACTCCCAAAACGTTAGCCTAATGAATATTCCAATCTGGACCACAGAGTAACCAAGACCACACCATAGAATCTTCCTCACTTGTTGATGAGCTAACACATCAATCTCTTCCTTCATACTTCTCATCTTATCAAACTCATCTCTAATCAAACCAGCATCAGGATTCAAACCTAAAGGAACTGCCTTTTTAATCAAATCCACCACCTACAAAATCCACAAACTCAAAATCAAACATCAAGAAAAACCAAAAGATTCTGATTTTTGTGTTCTTTCACAAACCTTATCAGGATGAAGATAGACTTTATCACGAAAAATCAAAACCACACCAGCATCATCAAGAACACGAGCAAAAGCATGAGCTTCATCAAGAGATCTAGCGATACCTAAACCTTGAGAAGCTTCAATAAGTGCACTATAAGAAACCATCTCTTTATCACCCATACCAATAAGCTTCTTCTTCATATCTTCAACATTCACTAATCTCATTAGCTTCTTAGCTTCAGAAACAGTCATATCTTCTTCCTTAGATTCACCGTTGAGACACCTATACCCACCAAGCAAAGTCCTAACCGGAGAAGCTTTACTCACGGTGGACATAGCCGTACGTCTTACTAAACCCACCACTGACCACATCGTCTGATCCAAAAAAATCCAATCTTTAAAGTGACCCACGAGTTTGTTTCTCACAGATCTGGAGTTTCAGGGAAATCAAAAAGATGGCTTTTTTTTGAAGATGGTGAAGAAACAAAAGGTGTGAGATTCGATTCTAACGCACTGATTTGAAAAAAGCTCCACCAAGAACGTGGAGAGTTTAAAAATGGTAATGTAATTGAATAAAAAGGAAAAGAGGAGGAAGCTTAAAGTTGCTTACTTTGTGAGAATCAGAAAAGTTAGGTCGCCATTGTTGACAAGTTAAGAGCCATGGCTTTTCGAAATCCCTAATTTAAGTTTTCGTTTTTTGAGTTAAATACAAATAAAGGAGAGAGTCAGAGAGAGGTTCGAGAGAGGGGGCACTGACTTAGGGCTGGCCGGGCTGGGGAAAGAAGAAAATTTCAGAAAAAATGAAAAAGTAAAATTAAGGATTTGGTTCGGTTTCATCTAAACCGGCGAAAGTAGTTGATTTTTTTTTTACTTTTACTTTTCTCAAAAAGGCAAAAACTCAAAATTCAACTCAAAATTCGAGATTGGGTTTTGCCTTTTTGAGGATTTAATTAAAACTATTTGTTTTTTTATGTTTGTCGTATAAAACATATCAAACAGAAATGTAAAATTTCTGGTTTAGTTTTAATTTAAACCGGGAAAATTGTTGAATTGACTTTCTTACTCAAAAATCTAACTTGGTTCTATACTTTTTTTTACTAAATTGTAGAATTCCTCTTTATTTTTCTATGATTTTTGTGCAAAAGATCATAGAAAATGTAAACTTTGATTTTTGCTAAACCGAAGAAAAATTGATCTGATTCGGTTTTAAGTAAACCGATAAAACTGGTTAATATTTGATTTTTGACTATTTTAAAAGAGTTAATTCATTTTACATAAACTCGAGAAATTAGTTAATTATTTTTTTTTTTACTTTTTAATTTAAATTACGAGCTTGGTTTTTCCTTTTTGAGGGTTAATTCTTTGTTTCTTTTTTCTTTTTAATTTTTATCATTATCATAAAAAAGAGTGGAGAATTGTATTAATTTATCAGATTCTCTTAGATACACAAAAGTAAAATTGATCTGGTTCGGTTTTAGCAAAACCGAAGAATTTGGTCTATAGCCAAATTTGAGCTTGGTTTTGGACTTTTCTATGTTTTCTAAATGTAAAACTTCTCAAACTTCCAAAAATAGACGCGTATTAGATTCCAAAAATAGACGCGTATAAGAAAAGAGGCAAAGAGAGTACACATAATAAAGTGGTGAATCTATTAGGAAAACAAAGATGCAATAAGAACTTGTTCGAAATAAGAAAGAGAACCAATGACACTTGTATAATTTGGTTTGGATAATATGGTAATGTCGACATTGCCGACATAAAAATTATGAGGGTGAGAACTTTGGTTGTGTTCGATTCATCGAAGCTATGAGACAAGAGAGAAATATGTAAGCTGACAAAGGAAATATATAAAGCTATGAATGTGTAGTCTCCATAACGTAATGTAATCAACATGTCAATCTCAACAATTCCAAACCATTGTTCAATAAGGTTTTGTATGTATTCTTGCAAGTTGTAACTTAAAATTATATAGAGACCATCTCCATGAACCACAACCTAAACTACCAAGAACTTTAAAAACCCTAGCATAAATGAATTGATTATTCTCATCAGATGTTGTTACTAGCATACACCATGGCCAAAGATCAATCACAAAGGGAATTTGTGACATGGAAGATAACTGTTTTGTATAGATAATATCCTTTATCGTGCAGACAAATTAAGCTATCACGGTTTTAAGTAATAGTGTTAGAATTAATGGAATTGATTGGTAGTCTTTCAAAGATTTAAATTATTTTAAAGAAAAATTTATATTCAAACGTTTTGCCCACCAAAATTAATTATCACAAATTGACTAAGAATCTACAAACATTGCTTTGAAACAGTAAATTGCTTGCTAGTGTTGTTTGGGGTCAAAAATGCTTTCCTAAAGCATTTTTGACATATGGTTTTTTATAAAAATACAGTATATAAATTATACATAATATAATATAGAAAGTAGAAAACAAAAGGGAAGGTAACAAAATTTTCAATCTGGAGGATCGAATCCACACACTTGAATACATAAAGAATCTACATAACCATCATGCTAACAAAATACTATTTGTTTGTTTCAAAGAAAAAAAAAACTATTTGTTCGGTAGCCCAAATAATTAGTATATATAATGTGGCTCAAATAATTTTGTAGAAACATTATTTTGTTTATTGTATACAAAAGACAATAAGAAAATCATCTAAGAATACAAGTTTTTCTTGTTTAAAATGAATTTGATGAAGGTTATCCTATAAATTTGAATATAACTAATGTTATTTTAGAATATTTGTTAAATTGGTTAAGTAAAATGCATATGAAGAATTTATAAAATTGTCAATTTTCTAACAAAATTCAATTTATTAAGTGCATATAAAGAATTGTACTATTATATTATTTTTTGTTGATTACAAGAGGGGTACAAAAATAGAAAATGTCGAAAATGTTGTTAGTTATAAATAAAATTTCCATTGAATTATGTTAAATGGTATCATTTAAAGGAGATTGAGAAGGTTAGTCTAGGATTGATCAAAAATTCATTTAAAATCACCCGATTAACTACAACTAGATCCGCTCGTTTTCATTCGTATCTCTAACTAGATCTATAGTTATTCGGATTGGTTTGTAACATCGTCCGGTTTAACTTAATTTAGTGGTGAAATATTTGATTAATATATAACTGGAACCCAAATCGGTTGATTTTATCGACGTTAATTATGTACTAATTCGCGATTAGCTCATAGAATTATCTTAGTTTACTGTATCTCCATTATTACATTATAGGAAAAGAAATATATAATTAGTTTACTATATCTCCATTATTAAATACTCATGTGGACTAATAAAATATTTTTGTTAAATTTTTTTAATAGAAGATCTCCATTATTACATTATAGGAAAAGAAATATATAATTAGTTTACTATATCTCCATTATTAAATACTCATGTGGACTAATAAAATATTTTTGTTAAATTTTTTTAATAGAAGAACATTATATATATATATATAAACAATAGATTAAGTTTAAAAAAAAAATCTAGAAAGTGTTTTCACTCTAATCTAATTATGCGTCTACTCATTTGTTTCAATCATTCCTCGGAAAAAATCCCAAATTTCAATAATTTTTTCAGAAAACAATGACAATGAATATTTTATACATTCATGGACATCAACAATCACAAAACAAATGTAAACAGAAAATATTAACTCATTATCTCAATTTTATTTCGAAGTGCAGTCAAGAGTAAGCAGGACTTCGTTCGGTGGAGATGTAAGCTAAAGGTCGCACCTCCCTAGCAGCGTAAAGGTATAGTTTTCATTATTTTTACTTTCATGACATTTAAATAGTTTTCATGATTTTTACTTTCATTCCAATTGAATTGTATTTTCATGAAAAATAAATATACTCTTTTCCATACAATATTACATATTTTTTGCATAAAATTTGCATATGATTTGCATACTACAGTATTATCAGTTTTACTAAGTTAAACAAAACAAATGAAATCAAAGAAATACGTAGTTGTACTAAATATAGTGTTACGAAGTTGTATAAACTAATTAACCAATCAAAATTATTTTTTTGAAAATAAACATAACATTTGTATTACCAAATATAATACTTGAGCCTTAACATTTCCATGTACTTCAAAATTCAAACGAAATCAAGATCTGAGATCTTCAACGAAATATACAAATCGGAAAATTAGAAGTTTTGAAAAAGCTTCGGTGAAGAAGAAGAAGATGAATCGTAGCTTAACGACGGCGCTATTACTCTCAGCTCTCATTATCTCTCTATCACCGGAGCTAATTCCGATCTGTGAAGCCGTTTGGCTTACCGTACCTCACACCGGATCAAAGTGCGTCTCCGAAGAAATACAAAGCAACATCGTCGTTTTAGCTGATTACCTTGTTATCTCCGATGATCATTCAATCTTCCCTACTGTCTCCGTTAAGGTTGGATTCGGATCCTTTTGTTTCTCTTCTTCGATTTGAAATTTTGGAACTCAGCTCTGTGAGACGAAATTAACTTTCTAAATTTGTTGATGGTAAAGCATTAATGAAGGCATTGATGCTTAGTTTGGAAATTGTGCATTCAATGTTATGAGTAGCTGATTCATAGAATATGAGATTGTTCTGTGAATGTGTTTAGAGAACTTAGATTTGGTATAAGGGATGTGGTAAGAGGTCTTTATGTATACTCAGTTTTGGATCTTTAGTATTCATTCAGATTTACTTGGATGAGAAGAGGAGTTGAGTTTTTGACATGGATCAATAGCTTGATGTGAGTGTGATCAAAATGTAAAAATGTTTGGAATTTTAGTTACTACAAGTTCTCTGTTTGCTTGCAAAGATGTTATCTTCCTATGGAAATGTGTATATCGTGTCTAAATTCAACTCTCCTTAATACATTATCGGAGACATTGACTCTCGCGGCTATGACTTTGGTTGATATATTGTTGTAGAAAGTTTACTCACAGGTGTGTTATGTCAACACATTTCTGGTAATGCCCATATGTTTGTGAGTGTTTAACGTCGAAGTATTTCTCGTGTCAGTAGATATGTTTGGAACAGACTATTGCTTATGACCTCAAGTTCTCTATATTCTTGCAAAGATGCTTGATAGGCTTCTATACTCCCATGCTTTATTAGTTAGATGGTAGCCATTGACTCTTTCAGTTACCATAGGTTGATAGATTGATGTTGAAAAATATAGGTTTATTAGGGATCTCAACTTCTTGAAAGAGGAAAATGAACAGAAATGTTTATGTTTTATTGCAGGTTACAGCACCTTATGGCAGCATTTTGCACCACACGCAAAACACAACGAATGGTCAGTTTGCGTTTACAACACAAGAATCAGGAACCTACTTGGCGTGTTTTGAGGCTGATGCCAAAAGTCATGGTAACAAAGATTTTAGCATCAACCTTGACTGGAAAACCGGAATCGCAGCTAAAGACTGGGACTCCATTGCTAGAAAAGAGAAGATCGAGGTCAGCTCTCTATTTTCAAGGCCTCTGAGATAATAAGCTACAAATTACTTTAAAAATCACATTGAAGAATAGGTTCTGCAACGAAAGAGCTTTAAAGTTAGTCTCTAATCTCTCTGTATGACACCCTATTATGCCATTGATTCGTAGGGAGTAGAGCTTGAGCTTAAGAAACTCGAAGGTGCGGTTGAGGCCATCCATGAAAATCTAATTTACCTCAGAAACAGGTATAAAGCTTAATTAACTGCTACATTCTTTTAAAGACACTGAAAAGAAATACAAAAAACAACACAGTCTCTTGTTTTGAAAATCGCAGAGAAGCAGAGATGAGGATTGTGAGCGAAAAAACAAACTCGAGAGTGGCATGGTATAGTATAATGTCGCTGGGGATTTGCATTGTGGTCTCTGGTTTACAGATTTTGTACTTGAAGCAATACTTTGAAAAGAAGAAGCTTATTTAGAGCAGACTGATCCATGTTGAAGATTAGTAGCACCAAATACTTTCCTCTGCTTTCTTTCTCTTGATGCTCTCTTCTTTGGAACTGTTAGTGTAAAATTTTGTTCACACTCACTTAACTTGTAATTTGTCAGCTATTTAACAATTCAGACCGAACTCAAAACCAAATTTTCTTGAGTTTGCTATGAAAACCATTTTAGGAAAGGAAAGCTTCATGAATGTATCTATGAAGCTTGTCTGATGCAACTTGTCTGATGCAGGTGCAACTTCACGACATGATGCAACTTGTCTGATGCAGATAAGCTTCTTGGAAAAAATTGTATACGTGTGAATTTAGATTAGTCTATGGAAACCTTTTTGCTCTGACTGAGTCCAAACTTCTTCGGGAAAATTCCATAAAAATTCCCCATCTAATTTTAATTTGAAAGTTTAATACACAATGTTATTTGATTAGAAATAAAATGTATGGTTTATTAAACTTTGGTCTATTAATACATTAAGTATATAAAAATTGTCGAATCGAATAAACCGCTTAATCGGATTGACGGAATAACTAAACCGAAGTTGACGAAATCACTAATCCCTAAACACATGAGTAATTTGGGGTTATCCAAAGACTGCATTGTCCTTTGCTATTCCCCCAAATCGAATTGGGATCGATAAATCCTAAGTTTAGTGTAATCCCATTAACCCCGGTTTAGTGATTCCGTCAATCCGAGTATCGTTTGTTAAGCGGTTTTTTCGATTCGACAATTTTTATATACTTGATGTATTAATAGACAACAAATTAATAAACCATGCATTTTGTTTCCAATCAAATAACATTGGGTATTAAACTTCCAAATTAAAATTAGATAAGGAATTTTTATGAAATTTTCCCAAACTTCTTCTATAGGTGTGAGACTTGAAAGAGAAGGTAAGGTATGAAAAGTCACTAAGTAACAAAGAAAGCATTGTCTTCTTCTATGAACACTACAAAGAACTTTCTGTAGAAAATTAAATTTTTGTTTGGAAATATCAGAGAAATTACAAGAATGGTGGAACCTGCAAGACAGCTAAGATTGTGGAAACGATAATTAAACTTTATTTCCAATAAGCTTAAAATATTGTTCTCTCATCAAAATTGTGTGAACCATATGAGTCAATGGAGTCAATGTTCTATGTCAATATACCACATACAAAGTCTTTTTGTTAGTCCTTACTTCGCACAAAGCTCTATTATTACATCTCTTATCTTAATTCTTCTCTCTATCGCAGTAATGGCTTCTTCTTCCTCTTCTTTATCTCTTTCACTTCCTTCACCCTCTTTGTTACAAACCTGGGAATACGATGTTTTTACGAGCTTTCATGGCCCAGATGTACGCAAAACCTTTCTCAGTCACGTTCGGAGGGAGTTCAAAAGGATAGGAATCAACATGTTCATTGATGACGAGATGGAGAGAGGAGAATTCATCGGTCCTGAACTCGAACGGGCGATCAGAGGATCTAAGATTGCTGTTGTCTTACTCTCCAAGAATTATGCTTCTTCTTCGTGGTGTCTTGACGAATTGGTGGAGATCATGGTGAATATGAAAGAGTCATGTCAAACGGTGTTTACCATTTTCTATGGAGTAAAACCAACGGACGTAAGGAAGCAGGGGGGAGACTTTGGAGAGGCCTTCAAAGGAACTTGTCAAGGTAAAACTGAGGAGAAGGTTCAGACATGGACGAAAGCTTTGACGGATGTGGCCGAAATCGCAGGTTACGATTTCAGCGAGTGGTTCGTGTTCTTGACTTAATTTCATCTGCTTTAATTCTTTCATACACATCAAACTTTAAACTTTTAAACGTGTTCCTGAGTTCATAGTGATTATTTATTAACAACATGATCCTCCTTTTTGTTAGTGATGATGAAGCAACCAAGATTGGCGAAATTGCTACTGAAACTTTGAAAAAGCTTACTGATTTGACACCATCACATGATTTTGAGCGTTTAATTGGGATGGAAGCTCATATGAGAAGGATGAATCAGTTGGTGCGTCTAGATTTGGATGAAGTGAGGATGATTGGGATTTGGGGTCCGCCTGGAATTGGGAAGACCACCATCGCCAGGTTTCTATTTAACCAACTTTCCGGTAGTTTCAAAAATAGCGCATTCATCTCGGGTATAAGAGGAAAATATCCAAGACCTTGTCTTGACAGGGAAAATGCAAAATTGAAACTACAAGAAGAAATGTTTTCTCAGGTGCTCAACGAGAAAGATATTGAGATTCCTCATTTAGGAGTCGCACAACAACGGTTGAGACACATGACAGTGTTTCTAGTTCTCGATGATGTTGATCAGTTACTACAACTACAAGCATTGGCAGAAAATGTTCAGTGGTTTGGTCCTAGAAGTCGAATTATCATCACAACTGAAGATCGAAGACTTTTGAAGGCACATAAGGTCGAGCATATATATACGGTGAAGTTTCCATCAAATGATGAGGCTCTTCAAATGTTCTGCATGTATGCTTTTAAACAAAAGACACCTGAAGATGGTTTCGATGCACTTGCTCGTGAAATTACATACATTGTCGGTGAACTTCCTTTAGCACTAGAGGTTATTGGATCCCACTTTCGAGGATTGTCTAAGGAGGAGTGGCCTATGGAAGTATCAAGGTTAAGGACTACCCTTGATAAAGATATTGAGAGCATTTTGAAGTTCAGTTATGATGCTTTATCTGATGAAGAGAAAGATTTATTCCTCCATATAGCTTGTATTTTCAACTACATGGATATGGAGAAAGTTGAAGAATATCTTGCTGAAAGTTTCGACCATGTGGGTCAAAGGCTTCGAGTGTTAGCTGATAAATCACTCATATATATTATTCTGCCATATGCCGCATATATTCCCGGTCGGTCATTTTGTACAATAGAAATGCATAAGATGTTGGCCCGACTAGGTAGAAAAATTGTCCAATCTGGTAAGTTTCCACAACGCCGGTTTTTGTTTGATCGTAAAGATATACATGAAGTAATGATTGATAATACAACAGTAAGTTTTGCTTTTAGTCTTTCGTTGCATTGCTTATTTTTAGTTTAGTGTTTTTTTTTTGTATCATATCTAATTATTTTTGGATCTTATATTTCAGATGACTAGAAGTGTTGTAGGCATATACTCTGAGGATCAGTTAAATGCAACTGAGAAAGCTTTTGAAGGAATGACTAAACTCCAGTTTCTAAAAGTCAATAGGTATGGTCGTCGAAAGAAAATATCTTATCAGGGACCTCTGAGCTTTACATCTCCCAATCTACGCTTGCTAGACTGGCCATATTGCCCGATGACATGTTTGCGTTTCATGAATGACGACCTGGAGTTTCTTTTCGAATTAAGCATGGCTGACAGCAAACTTGAGAAACTGTGGGACGGAAATAAAGTAAGTCATTTAAATTTCTCTTATAAGAATTTTTAAGTTTTAAATTTTATTTTGAATATATAACATATTTTCTTGTGCAAGTTAACTTGAGAGATTATATTTAACTTGCTACTAGTTGTTTAGGATGGAAGTGTAATTTTTACATGTTCTTTTCATGTGTTCACTTGACAGATGTATTTTGAATTGTGAATCTTTTTCTTTTCTTTATTTGTGTATACAGCTACTTCGAAATCTCAATCGGATGGATTTGAGTTTTTCTAAGAATCTGAAGGAGCTTCCTGACTTCTCAACAGCCACTAATCTCAAAGAACTACAACTCGGTAGTTGCTCAAGTCTGATGGAGCTCCCTTACTCTATTGGGAATGCAACTAGTCTTCACAGTTTAGATCTAAGTGGTTGCTCAAGTCTGGTGGAGCTCCCTTACTCTATTGTGAATGCAACTAGTCTCCATGAGTTGTATCTCAGAAATTGCTCAAATCTGGTATCACTCCCACAGCTTCCGGATTCTCTAGAGTGCCTAGATGCACTAAATTGTGAGTCCCTAGAGAAACTAGATTGCTCCTTCTGCAATCCATGTATTTGTCTCTACTTCGATAGCTGCTTCAAACTAAATAAAGAAGCAAGAGATCTCCTCACCCAGACAACTGCTAAATTGGTGGTCGTACCCGGTAAAGAAGTGCCTGCGTGCTTCACTTACAGAGGTTATGGGAGTTCCATAACAGTGAAGTTGAATCAAAAGCCTCTTCGTACACCAACAATATTTAAGGCATGCGTCTTGTTTGAAAGAGATGCTGATAGTGATGATCTTTGGTGGTGTACCAAGAAGAATAAAGATGGTATTCTGGAACGACGGTCCCTGTCTTGTTGCCTATCAATCTCCCGTGGAAAATACTATAGTGAAAGTTTTTTAACGGAGCATCTATACATCTCTCACACTCTCGTACGAGAGGAGGTGACTTCCACCGAGCTTGTTTTTGATTTCTCTGACAGGATAAAAGAATGCGGGATAATCCAGCTCTTCGAGCATCATGTTGATGGCGACGAAGAGATGTGTGAAAAGGATATCATGTTGATATATAAAGAGCATCATGTTGATATAGCGGATTGTCGGATTTCATAAATGCCTGGATGGCTGGATCTGAGACAAAAAAAAACATTGAAACTCAAGTCAGAGAGAGAGAAGCCGGCAGGGCTGTTTTCATTTTCATTGACTTTGTAGATGGAACTCTGCATAACAACTGTTCGATGAAATGTCTAAATGGCAATTGAATTGTATAATCATACTACCAACTAATAGTTTTTAAAATTGTAGCTGGTGGAGTGTAAGGAACTCTTAAAGGTGAAGTTGATGCCATCCATGAATATCTAAGGAACAGGTAAAAACACCTTTAATTAATCCATACATTCTTTGATTTATGTGTTTTTGTTTCTGTCTTCTCATATCATAGCAATAGAAATAAAAAATTGTTTGTGATATTTAGATATTCTGTAATAATTCTTTTGGATCTGAATTAGATTGTTGCTCAAGGCACAACACAAGTAAGCTGTTTCATTATGCATTGTGTCTTTTACCAAAATGGCTTGAGCCACATGTTTGCACATACCAAGATGAATTTATGCTATATCGTAAATCATTGGTTCCCTCTCTCTATTAGTATCTCTATTAGTCGCTACTGTTATCACTCACACATGCTGTTTGTAAATTCTCAAATACTTTGCAGTTTTATTTAATAGCTCTCTGTGGTTTCAGATTTGAATAATCATCTAGTTTTCATGATTCTGTATTGCTTAATTCTATTCCTGAATTGGTTAGATATTAGTTTTGCTGATCATATAGAGATTCCTCGAAACTTCTTCGAATGGGTTTGAATCTGTTTGTGTGCAACGTCAAATCAAAAACATTTCAAGTGGTAATGGATTTTCTCATTGTATTAGAATCTGTAAGAGAATCAAGCTGTTTCCGGTTCCAGTTCTTATCGATAATATTCGATTTTACCTGAAAACGAAGGAACTCGTCGCTAATAATATATATATGCTGACATGTGACTTGAGACAGTAGTTTAAGAGTGTTATATCTTTCATGTTTGGTGATTTGTGAATATTTTATATGTTATCTTTCATGTTAGGAACAATGAAGAAGACCTGATGGAAAAGAAGTTGCTATAGATGTCTCAAATGCCTTAAATCGGGGAAATGTATAGGAGCTAGAATCAACCTGGAGGCTAAGGAAATCTGCAAGACAATTCAGTAAGCTCTTCTTTAGCCGTGCACACATGTTATACGAGTGATGTAAACTCCTGGAAGATTAAAATGACCAGAAATATTATATGTTTTAATTGCAGGCTACAGCACCATCATATATGGCAGCGTTTTGTGTTCACCACTTTGAACGTTCAACAGAGTTGTGACTTGAGAAAAACAGAGCACTCTGTTGGTACAAAGTTTCATATATAGTACAAATTTTATAAACAAAGTACTGTATAAAAGAAAAAATACGAAAAAAATCTGGAGAAATCAGACTTTTTGGAATTGAAAAACCCATTGTTGTATTATTTGGAATATAAAAGCAAAGAAGGACAAGGCTGATATCGAAGAGAATTCTGCTTTTGATGAATTACGCTGCAGAGAAAGAAGTCGGATCATTGTAACATTTTGAAGTGGTGTAGCAACGATTTTGTTTTCAAGGTTTCAATGTCCATAATTCATAATTTCAAATAGCAAATGGCTTTAGGGGTTTACCCTAATCCAATGTTCCGAGGCATAGTGGTATGGTTTAAGATCGAAGAGTTAAACCTTATTTGAACTCAATTTTGAAAATGTAGGCCGAGTGTGACAAGTACTAAACTTATGAGTCATATGTGATCAAAGATTGCATTTTTCTTTGATGCCATGGCTAAGAAGATACTATCCTTATGATTATCATGTCACTTATTTATTTATTAAATAGAGACGTTATACAAAATATAATCATGTCACTTTATATTTCAGTGAAATTTTTAACTATGGTTGACTCAACATCGCCATCCACGTATGTCGTATACGAAAAAACTTGTAATCATTTCAGAATAACAAACCGAACCGAGCATTGAGATTTATAACGGTTAGAAAATTCAACTTGGTAAAGTAAAAATGTAAAATTATGGGGTAAATCTTTACAACAGTGTATCAGTAATTTATTGGTCCGTTAGATTTTAAAAGCTCCATTCGTTTTGGTCCGTTAGATTCTCTTTGCTTAACGGTTAGAAATATTTTATTTTGTTCGCAACAGTGTAATTTTGAATTATCTCTCTCTCTCAAGCTCTCGCTCTCCCTGTCTCTCTCAGATCGTCTCTGTTTCTGGAGTTTGATAATCTCTGTCGAAGTAATTAATCTTAAGGTAGTCTCTTGTAATCCTTTTACAATTCCTGCTCGAGAAAATCTTACTGTACTTCTCTTTAAGCTTCCATAATTTTTTTAATTTTTTTGGGTTCAATTTATGCATCAAAATCAGAACCGATGATCGATTTTGAGAATTTGAATTGATCGATTTTGAATTTGTGATGATTACTTCGTTAGAGCAACGCTTTCTAATTAGGGTTTAACTTTGTATCTGATTTTTTGGGGTTACGCGTTAGAGAACCTTGCGAATCGTGGCTAAACTTAGAGCGACGCTGAGAAATCAGATTTAATTGAACTATTTCTGTGAATTGAATTATTTTTGTATATACGCTCTCTGACATATATGAACTCTTTCACATTCTTTGTTGAGGGCAAAAAGCGTTACAGGTAAAAGTTGTATCTAACATGATTGCTGCTAGAGAGGTTCTTGGAGTGATGGTTTCTATATCTTCTGAAGGTTTCTGATTTCTATATTCATCTCCTAAGCTAAAGTGACATGATTTTGGGAAACGTTTAGGTTCTACTGATCACTCTATTTGATGGAAAAATTATATATATGTGTAATCATTGTCAAACTTTGCCTATTCAATTATATTCTTAGGTTTTGGATCATGGTTCTTTTCTAGCTTACCTGCTCTAAGAGATTTGCAAATCAGTTATAGTCTTTATGTACCTCCTCTTGTTATACCCATCTAACAATAGGAAGCATCTAAATGTTTTTGGTTATCTATGTTGTTGGTAGAGTTGCTTGAAACAAAAGGATTTGCTTGCTAGAAGTTGTGCATTTATCATTTGTCTTGGCTTTCTTCTAAAGGTTTGTGCTTGATTTATCATTACAAATGGGAATCCCCTGACGAACAATGGGTAATCATTAAAAAATACTTGGCTACTGCTTTTGTGTTGTTGTCTGTTTTCACATGGTACATTGTCTAATGTAGGCATATTGGTATGACTTTCGGCATTGCATACGGTCTTCTCCGACGTTGAACTATATTAATCTGTGGTTTGGATTTTCTATTTCTGCCACGTGACGTGAATCTCGCATTGCACTCGCTGTAAGATTTCTAAGATGTTCATGTCTCATTTTCTCTTCTCAGAACTATTGCAGGGTGAAATCAAGAGAAGGGGATCTTTGAGCTGCAAACGACTCTATAGTCAGAGAACAAAGAAGGGCTCAGATGAAGTACTTTCTCTCTCATTTCTCTAATCTCTAGCTTCATACATAATTCGTTCCACGGAAATTACAAGTACACTAAAACACCACGAACCAAACAAACATAATACACCAAAATCCCACCGTCATAACAAAAACTTTACATACCTCAAACACATAAACTTCACGTGCAGAGAACATAATTCAAATAGGCAAAACAAAAACACGCAAACACAACATTCAAAATTTTGATTGAAATATATTTTGATTAATATGAAATTATATTTCAATTATATTTCGATTGCACTCCATATAATTTTATAGGAAATATATTTAATTTGTTATCTACAAAATAATTTGGATATTAATTATTAAATACCTTGGATGACGGTAGAAGCCTCCTTGGTCCAACGGTGTTGATCAAGGGTTTAGTAATGCTTCTACACCAGGAAGTCTGGGGTTCGAGCCCCAGAGAGCGCGATTTATTAATATTTCTGCAGATTAATGAAGATAAGTTTACAGAAGATCTCCAGTGAGGGACGGAAGGAATTGTCCATGGTAGATCTATCTTTGTAACAATTCTCATAATCTGCAATACTTAATAAATCTAAAAGACGATAAAAAAAAACAAATACGTTGGATGACGTGTCTTTGTTCTCGCTAATATCTCAACACGTAGGGCTGGGGCGGAGCCGGATATCCGGACCCGTATCCGTATCCGGCGGATTCGTAGTTTTAATATCTGGTTGGATCCCTTATCCCGGATATGCAGGTCTCGGATATTCGTATGTAAAAGCTGGATATCTGTGAATAATAAAAATTATCATAAATTTTTTAAAACATAACATAAAAATGAATTAATTTAATAAAAGTAATAATAAAACTAATATTTTAATATATAGAATTAGAAAACTATATCATATAATATAAATAATAATAAAATATTATTAAAATATTAAAAATGTCGGATCCGGATATCCGGACTAAAATTTCCCACTATTCGGATGCGTTATTTCACTAATGGTGAAATTACATCTTCATATTTCTTCTTCTTTTATTTTTCTGACTATAACGTAAGGTTGAAGGAAGACGATGGTGAAATTACTTAATGGCGTAAGAGATCACTCTTTGATCAGTGACAACAATGTTTCTCCTTCAGCAACTCCTGCTCCTCTTAAACAGCCTCCCGGAAGACAACGGTGTGTAACATGATCATGTCTCAGCTACACGATCAACGTGTTGTGCTTGTGAACCAAGTAATCTATCCACTCAATACTTGTTTTTTTTTTCATAATCATCAAATCGTCCAAAACAGTCGTGTGACAGATTTGATTTGTAGGATTCGTTTTATCATTCCCTTAGTGAGGAGAAATTGAAGAAGGTTCATGAATACAATTTTGATCATCCTAGTGAGTGATTGATCTGATGAGGAGGATTCGAATTTGTTTTTGATTGATTCAAAACTACACATACAGCTTCGTTCAATACCGAGGTTTTGCTTTCGTGCATGGAGAAATTGCGATCCGTGTAAGAGAAATGATACAATCGAAAAAATCTGAACTCTTGGTGTTCCCTTTTGTGTAATTCATACTGTTAACATCCAACAAAGTTGTGTGTGACTTGCGAAAACAGAGGACACTGTACAAACACAGTTACCAAACATTCTGAAGAAATAAAACCTTTCAATACACGAATTTTAAAACACACGAATTTTGTACAACAAAAGCATTCGTATACATAATTTTTATCTGACAACATTGAAAAATCTATAACACAACATGGTGCAACTTGTCTGATGCGGAAAAGCTTCTTGGAAAAAACTGTATACGTGTGAATTTAGATTAGTCTATGGCAACTTCTTCTATATGTGTGAGACTTGAAAGAGAAGGTAAGGTTTGAAAAGTCACTAAGTAACAAAGAAAGCACTGTCTTCTTCTATTAACTCTACAAAGAAATTTCTGTAGAAAAAAAAAAATTTTGTGAGGAAACATCAGAGAAATTACAAGAATGGTGGAAGCCTACAAGACAGCTAAGATTCTGAAAACGATAATTAAACTTTATTTCCAATGGAGTCAACGTTCTATGTCAATATTACACATGCAAAGTCTTTTTGTTAGTCCTTACTTCCCATTACATCTTCTCTTTATTGCAATAATGGCTTCTTCTTCTTCTTCTTCTTTATCACCCTCTTTGTTACAAACCTGGACGCACGATATTTTTCCGAGCTTCCACGGGAAAGATGTACGAAAGAACTTTCTCAGCCACGTTCTCAAGGAGTTCGAAAGAAAAGGAATCAACTCTTTTGTTGATAATGAGATGGAAAGAGGAGATTTCATCGGACCTGAACTCAAGCGAGCGATCAGAGAATCTAAGATTATTGTTGTCTTGCTCTCAAAAAATTATGCTTCTTCGTCATGGTGTCTTGAAGAATTAGCGGAGATCATGAAGAAAGAGTCTGGTCAAAAGGTGATTACCATTTTCTATGGAGTAGAACCAATTGACGTAAGGAAGCAGAAGGGAGACTTTGGAAAGGTCTTCAAAAAAACATGCAAAGGTAAAGGCAAAGAGAAAGTTCATACATGGACGATAGCTTTGAAGGGTGTGGCCACAATCGCAGGTTACGATTTCAGCAACTGGTTCGTGTTCTTCACTTAATTTATTTCATTTCCTTTTATTATTGCAAACACATCAAACTTTAATTATAACTTTGTAGCATCCAAACTATATATGCACACAAGAGAGTCATAATTAACTTTTAAAATGTGTATATGAGTTTTTACTGATTATTTATTAATTTGATGTATATATAAACTGATCTTACTTTTTGTAGTGATAATGAAGCAGCCATGATTGAAAACATCGCTGCTTATATTTCTAACAAGCTTAATCATTTGATACCGTCACGTGATTTTGACCGTTTAATTGGGATGGAAGCTCATATGAGTAGGATAAATCAGTTTCTACACCCTGATTTAGATGAAGTGAGGATGATTGGTATTTGGGGTCCGGCCGGGATTGGGAAGACCACCATCGCCAGGTTTCTCTTTAACAAAATCTTCGGCGGTTTCCAAAATAGCGCATTCATGGAGAATATCAAAGGAAGCTATCCAAGACCTTGTCTTAACGAGTATGGTGCACAGCGACAACTACAAAAAGAAATGTTGTCTCAAATGTTTCACCAGGAAAATATTGTGATTCCTCATTTAGGAGTCGCAAGAGGACGGTTAGGAGACCGGAAAGTGCTTCTCGTTCTTGATGATGTGGATCGGTTAGCACAATTAGAAGCATTGGCTAAAAATGTACAATGGTTTGGCCCTCGAAGCTTGATTATCATCACAACAGAATATCTAAGACTTTTGCAGGCACATAAGATCGAGCATATATACAAGGTGGATTTTCCATCAAATAATGAGGCTCTTCAAATGTTCTGCAAGTATGCTTTTAACCAAAAGTCTCCTAAAGATGGTTTTAATGAACTTGCTTGTGAAATTGCATACCGTGTTGGCAATCTTCCTTTAGGACTAAAGGTTATTGGATCCCACTTTCTAGGATTGCCCAAGGAGGAATGGCCAATGGAAGTATCAAGGTTAAGGACTACCCTTGATAGAGATATTGAGAGCATTTTGAAGTTCAGTTATGATGCTTTATGTGATGAAGATAAAGATTTATTCCTCCATATAGCTTGCTTTTTCAACAGTATGGATATTAAGAAAGTTGAAGAATATCTTGCTGAAAGTTTCGACCATGTGGGTCAAAGGCTTCATGTGTTAGCTGATAAATCACTGATATATATTGAGTTGTTTATGAATGAGTTGTTTATTATGCAAAATCGTATAAGAATGCATAATATGTTGGCCCAACTAGGTAAGAAAATTGTCCAATCTGGTAAGCTTCGACAACGCCGGTTTTTGTTTGATCATAAGGATATATGTGAAGTATTGATTGATACTACAAGAGTAAGTTTTGCTTTTAGTCTTTCGTTGCACTACGTAATTTTTTAGTTTAGTGTTATTTATTTTTATATCATCTCTAATTATTTTTGGGTCTTTTCATTCCAGATGACAAGTGTTGTAGGCATATACTCCAATTATCAGTTAAATGTATCTGAGAAAGCTTTTGAAGGAATGTCTAATCTCCAGTTCTTAAGAGTCAGCTATGATCGTGATCATCAAAACAGTATATCTTCTATGGGACCTCTGAGCTTTATATCACCAAACCTACGGTTGCTAGACTTGTCAGATTTCCCGATGACAAGATTGCGTTTCATGAATAACCTGAAGTTTCTTGTCGAATTTAGCATGGTTGACAGCAAACTTGAGAAGCTGTGGGACGGAACTAAAGTAAGTCATTTAAATTTCTCTTGTAAGAATAACATCCTTTCTTGTGCAAGTTAACTTGAGAGATTATATTTAACTTGTCACTTCATGTGTAGCATGGAAGTGTATTTTTTACGTGTTCTTTTCATGTGTTCATTTGACGGGTGTATAACATAATCATGAATTTTTTTCTTTTCTATATTTGTGTGCACAGATACTTCGAAATCTCAAGCGGATGAATTTGAAAAATTCTAAGAACCTGAAGGAGCTACCTAACCTTTCAACAGCCACGAATCTCGAAAGATTATATCTCAATGGATGCTCAAGTCTGGTGGAGCTCCCTTCCTCTATTGTGAATGCAACTAGTCTCCATTATTTGAATCTCAGTGATTGCTCAAGTCTGGTATCACTCCCGCAGCTTTCGGATTCCCTAAGGTACCTAGATGCACGAAATTGTGAGTCCCTAGAGAAACTAGATTGCTCCTTCTGCAATCCAGGTATTTGGCTCTACTTCGGTAACTGCTACAAACTAAATAAAGAAGCAAGAGATCTCCTCATCCAGACATCACCTCTTGAATTGGTGGTCTTACCCAGTAAAGAAGTGCCTATGTGCTTCACTTACAGAGGTTATGGGAGTTCCGCAACAGTGAAGTTGAATCAAAAGCATCTTCCTACTTCAACCAAATTTAAGGCGTGCGTCTTGTTTGAAAAAAAGGGTTGTATTGATTGGGACACAATTTGTGTGTATACCAAGAAGAATAAGGAACGAGGGTCGGTGTCTTGTTGCATCGGAGACAATATGAAAGATCGTGGTGAAGACATTCCAATTTTAACGGAGCATCTATACAATTTCGAAGTTACAATAGATGAGATGGCTTCCACCGAGCTTGTGTTTGATTTCTGGTATAGTGACAAATACACTGGCATGACTGACGAGATAAATGAATGCGGGATGATCCACATGTTGGAATAATTTAAAAATGGATAATGATTCTAAAAATAGAGAGAAGAAGATTAGGAGAAGAAGATGAAATGAGAAGTTGAGTATGTTGTATTTTGAATTGTGAAATGGGTGAATACTCTTTGGTATATATAGTGGTCGGAAATTCGTCGGGAACTACAAAAGCGGTAAACTCAATTGTTTTGAATTCGTAAATGTGGGAACATACAAAAAAATATTCCGACGAATTTCCGACGACCATATCATATTCCGACGAATTTCCGACGACCGTAGAATTTCCAACGAATTTCCGACGACCGTAGATATTTCCGACGACTTTCCGACGATATTTTTTATTTTTTTAAATATATAATTAAAAATAGTTAGAAATTATATGGAATTTCCGACCAATTTCCGACCACTTATTTTATTTTGAAAATAAAAAATACAAAAACAAGAATAATATATGTTTCGATGGAGTTACGACAAAATTCCGACGACCACAAGTGCAACGATAAATTGAAAGTTAAAAACTTAGAGAACAAAAACACTGATTTTTAAACACCTGCACAGAGTATGTTGTGTAGCTTCACCTTCTCTTTTACGCTCTCTATATGACTGAGGACATGCTATTTTATCGTTTTCATTTGTGATGAAATGGCTTTATTTTTTAGGTGAACTATTGTTTATTTTTGGTATATTTTTTCTTCTAATTATTTCTGTATCACATTACCATTCAAGAAGATAAGATATTAGTGGCATAAGAGCTTAATCACATTCCCATTCATATTTCTAGCAAATCGCATTCATCTCCATCAAATCGTAATCGCACCTAAAAAGAATTGCTCCTCGAGCCAATGTCATTGAGAATATGCATTGCGGTCAATGGTATCAAGATTTGGTACTTGAAAAGAAGAAACTTATTTAGATCAGACTGATCCATGGATAGTCTCTTGTCAAGAGTACTATGACCAAAACTTTTGTTCTCATCTTGTATATTGATTGTATTTGGAATAACTTTTTGAGTTTGGTAGAGCTCATCCAATAGAACACGGTGTGATTTTGGGTTTATTTAAAACTGCATACTAAATTTATATCAAAATCTCATAATTTGAGAGAATGTATGGGCGTTCTTTTTTTTTTTTTTTGTCAATCGTACTATTATTTGACTCATATGAGCTAAGAATCAGGAACATTATTTACATGGATACAATGGAACGGTTCAGTATGCACTTTGAGTGCCAATTTATCCGCTTTGACATTAGAACATCGAAAAACTTTCACTAAAGAAAAAAGAAAAAAAACTCCCCTATATCTGCTTTGATCTATTCTAGCCTTCTAGGTATCAAATGACAATAATTTTGGTTTCTTATTATGGTAAAGGATTCGTTTAAGGGAAAAAAAATCGAATCAAAATCAAACATAACCAAACATAAAATAATTCTAATTTAAGTTCAGGTAGAATTTAATGAAAACCAAACTGAACCAATTCCAAACCGAAATGTTCATCCCTATTTTAACATACTTTATGTCCAAATCTCCTAATTTGCAAGAATATAGGGGACATCCGGTAATTAACAAAACAATTACCTTCTTTATAAACTTCTCAATTCCAATGGGTATTTACAAATCGATAGCCCAACCAGGCCCATTATAAGAAAACCCTAATTAACTTTATAAATTTCATGCTTTTATCTTCACTCTAACTTTTCTAGGGCTTCCGCCACCAGACACAGAGAGAGGAGTCAAAAATGCCGGCGGGACACGGAGTAAGGGCGAGAACAAGGGATCTGTTCGCGAGACCGTTCAGGAAGAAGGGTTATATCCCACTCTCCACTTACCTGAGAACCTTCAAGGTCGGCGATTACGTGGATGTCAAGGTTAATGGAGCTATCCACAAGGGTATGCCTCACAAGTTCTACCATGGTCGTACTGGTCGTATCTGGAACGTTACTAAGCGTGCCGTTGGTGTTGAAGTCAACAAACAGGTTTGTAAAATTGTTAAATTTTGCAACTTTATTGAATTTTAATGATCTCTTTGTGTTTGTATTGTGATTCTTGGCTAATTGAAACTTGAGATTGTGTTGATTGTTGAATTAGGGGTTTTTAATTGATTGTGATTCTTTGGCTATCTGATTCAGTTCTGAAATGTTTGATTTTGTATTGGTTTAGAGGATTCATGTTTTGATTTTGCCTTGTTTTATTATCTGTCTTGGAGCTAACTTAGAGTTTGGTTTATGTATTTTGCTATTTGTATGAGTTGCAATCACATCCTCTTTGATTCTTGTGTTTACTTTGAAGGTTCTTTTGTTAATGAGTAATGTAATCCCTTGGATAGTGACTTAATGTTGTGTTTGAGATTGGGTTTTAGATTGGGAACAGAATCATAAGGAAGAGAATACATGTGCGTGTGGAGCATGTGCAACAGTCAAGGTGTGCTGAGGAGTTTAAACTCAGGAAGAAGCAGAACGATGAGCTTAAAGCTGCAGCTAAAGCAAGAGGTGAGACAATCAGCACCAAGAGACAACCTAAAGGTCCTAAACCAGGTTTCATGGTTGAAGGTATGACATTGGAGACTGTTACTCCCATCCCTTACGATGTCGTCAACGATCTCAAGGGTGGCTATTAAGTTTCTATTTACCAGTCTGTCTACTCAGAATTTTTGCAGTTGCTTTGTTTTCTTAAAGATGTTTTTGTATCAAACAAGACTGATTTCTATGTGGTATGATGACAGTGAATTTCAGATTTTTGTTAGGAGATATGGTTTATCATTGCTTTGTAAAATTTGCCTTTACTCTCCTTTGAAAAAAGAGCTTAGTTAAACAACAACCATGGCAGAGCTGCTACTCTGGTCGAACATGGAGTGCAATATATTTTTACAGCATCTTCTCCCCTTCCTTAACGACCTCTTGATCATTGAGCTTGCGACTCCACTTCAAAGAAGAAAGAAGAAGATATTGGTCGGGTCATTTACGTATCGAGTCTGTGTTTAATGGTTAACCAAGCATTAAACTATGCACTGACGTTAATATAGGTTTAGAAATATTTTTCATGGATATATAGGACTAGGCATGACAAAAGCTACCTTTAACCGTATTTCTAACCGTAACCAGATCTTTTATCAACCGTAACCGTATATAAAACAGTTAGAAATCGTAACCGTTAACCGTACAAGTAAATTAGTTATAGTTAAAAAAGATTAACCGTAACTGTTAATTAACTATAACCGTAATAAATCGCCGGTTAAACGCATATTAAATCTTTAAAATAAATTATATTATAACTGTATACAATAAAAAGACACATCAAATATTTGGATAAAAATTTCACCTTATTAAAAGTAACATAACAAGTTGAACTCATAAGTAATCAAAATATTTCATAATAAACTATTTTTATTCTTATTTCCGTGTGTATTTGACGTTGAGTTTCTCAATTTCGATCCAATACCCAGATTTAACTAATTCACTATAAATATTTGAAATCACATATATTTTTTACTTGTAAAATAAATAGTATTTCATAAGATTTTATCTCCAATATTAATATTATAATGATCATCAAATAACCGTAACCGTAACCGTAATTAACCGTAAGCGTATATAACCATAACCGTCTTAATCGTATATATAATGGTTAAAGTTTTGTTTAAAGAAAATTATGTATAATGGTTAAAGTTTTGGTTAAAGAAAATTATAACCGTTAACCGGTGGTTAATTAACTATAGTATTAACCATAATTGTGGTCATGCCTATACATGACGGTGTCAGGGCTATTATACGATGCTATAATTCTTGTGAAAAATATGACTTAAAATTTTATCCAATGCACCACCTCAAAGAAGAAGATATTGGTCGGGTAATTTACGAATCGAGTCTGTGTTTAATGGTTAACCAAGCTTTAAACTATGCACTGACGTAAATATAGGTTTAGAAATATTTTTCATGGATATATAGGACTTGGCATCACCAAAAGCTAACTTTAATCATATTTTTAACCGTAACCGGATCGTTTATCAACAGTAACTGGACAGTAACCATATAAAACGGTCAAAAATCATAACCGTTAAACGTACAAGTAAATTAGTTACGGTTAAAAAAAAACTAACCGTAACCATTAATTAACCATAACCATAATAAAACGTCGGTTAACCACATATTAAATCCTGAGAATTTTTGAGAAATACCTCTTTTAGTGTATCCTTTTTAAAAATACCCCTCTTTTCTATTTATTTTCAAAAATATCTATTTTCAAATATGAAAAATTATAAACTTTTATATGGTTGATAAGATACATCAAGATTCTTATTATTATTACTGGGAGACTAAATCCAAATATTTATAAGGTTTTAGAAGGTTTTAAACAACATTTATAACTGTATACAATGAAAAGACGCATCAAATATTTGGATAAAAATTTCACCTTATAAAAAGCAACATAACAATGCACTAGTAAGTAATCAAAAATTTCATACTAAACTATTTTTATTCTTATTTCCGTGTGTATTTGATGTTGAGTTTCTCAATTTCGATCCAATACCCAGATTTAACTAAATATTTGAAATCACATATATTTTTTACTTGTAAAATAAATAGTATTTCTTAAGATTTTATCTTCAATATTAATATTATAATAATCATCAAATAACTGTAACCGGATCTAACCATATATAACCGTAACCGTCTTAACCTTATATATAATAGTTAAAGTTATGGTTAAAAAAATTATAACCGTTAACCAATGGTTAATTAACCATAACCGCATTAACTATAAGTGTGGTCATGCCTATATACTATATAGGACTGTCGTTAGAGTTTGGGCTATTATACGATGCTATAATTCTTGCGAAAAGATATGACTTCAAATTTTATCCAATGCACCACCTAATTATTCCTTTTTTTGGTCGGAGGAACATAAGTATAATTATAGTCAGTTTTCATTATGCGATAAATTTTTAACTTTTATAATGAAAAGGTTTTTTTAGCTTTTTAAACTCAAAATGCACAATTACGGCAAATCAAAAAGGTTATTTTAGTGCATTTCAAAACATCCGATCTTCAATACAAAACTTGATAAACTTTCAGGGTTATATCTCAGAAATAAAAGTTTTCTCTGGGCTGGATCGTATGTTTTCACTTTTCTCACTCCTCGAGCATCTCCTTCGCTTCTTCAACCTCAAATCCCTTCCTTTTTTGAGTTTCTTTACTCCAATTCTCGAAAGATCTTAGAATTAAATTCCCAAAAAGTCATCTTTTTCATTCTTGATTCTGGAAAAATCCATACCCAGTTGCCAAGTTTCGCAATTTCGTTTGTGTACGATCCATCGATGTACTGAGTGATTATGAGCTGCAACCCAAATACTCTATTAATGGAGGAACAGAGAGAAGATAGTGAGTTTTGCAATGAGCCCATGGAGGAGGAAGCTACTAAGGGATTAGGTTTATCCTCTAAAAATGAAACCCTAGGTGGTGAGGATACACACACGGTACATGTTTCGGATTCAGGTGTTAGTGGGATTGATGCAGATCCAGATGTTGGTGTTTCAGCGACTCAAGATGGCAATACGGATAATTTGGTTTCTGATGAAGAGGAACAAGTGAAAGCTGATGATGTTGAGGTTAGTGGCGAGGAACCTAGAGATAACGTTGATGATGATGTTGAGGTTAGTGGTAAGGAACCTAAAGATAACGTTGATGATGATGTTGAGGTTAGTGGTGAGGAACCTAAAGATAACGTTGATGATGATGTTGCACTTACGGCTAAGTCTGAAGTTAAGAGTAACCATGGAGAAGGGAAATATGTTTCTGATGAGGAGGCAAATTGTGAAGTTGAGGATAATGGTGATTCCGAGAAGAAGGCTGACCAAGAGAAGGAATCAGCAAAGAAGAGTGAAGCTGCTGTAGTTCCAGAGGAGTCTAATCAATTTAGCGAAAGGGAAACAAAGGAAGTAACATCAGGTACTGTTTTGGAAGTTAACTCTGCTTCTGAAATAAATGATGAAGGAAAATTAACCAGTGTTGATCAAAAAGAAGAAAACGGAGAAGCCATGGAGATCGATAATGAGGCAGAGGAACAGGTGGAAGATGATGTTAAAGTATGTGGTGCATTGGATAGTGCTTGCAATGAATCTGCGGGTGCAAGTGTGGTGCAAACTCAAGATATTTCAGAAGCTGAAGCTGACGTGAATAATTCCAATGTAGTAGATGAAATGGAAATTGACGAACGGAAAGATAATGCTGATACGGCAAATGATCTTACTGATTTAGCAATCCCAAACAGTCCCTCTGAAAATGCTGCTCCAGGTGAAGTTGAACCGTTGGATCATCATGCTCTTTTTGATCCAACTTCTGATATTACCAACTTTATTGATTTCAGTGGTGTATCATCTTGGTCAGGAAATATACAAGACCTCAAAACCGACACCAGGAATATATCTTTGAAAGAGGATAAGAAAGCTGCTGATATAGCAGATGAAGTTGCCTCGGTGAGTATTGAAAATGGATCTAGTGAAGCACGTGTTGCTTCTGGAGCACAATCTCCAGCTGCTACTATAGATTGTTCAAAAGAGGCATCTGATGCAATTTTGGGATCTGAAGAAAATCAAGAAAGTAAAGATCATGAATGCTTAGAGAAGGAAACAGCAGACCAAAACGATACAATGAGAGAGGAAGAGGACATTACTCATGAATCCCAAAGTATCGACGATCCAAACAAAAAGGAAGATACAGAAATTGAAGAATATCCCAATATTTCTGATTATGCTGCTGATGAAGCTGGTTCTGATATTAAGTCCAATGGCGTGAAACAAAAGGCTGATGTCCTGAGTGAGGATTCACCAGGAGAAGGTAGGAAGACTTTCTCATTGGCAAAGGTGTCTTTTGCACAAAGGCCCTCCTTTAAGATTGGTGCATGCATAGCAAGAGCTGCTAGTCAGATGGCAGGATCGTCTTCAGTTTTGAAGGGTAGTAACTTTGATGGTGAAACTCTTTCTGTTGAGAGTTTTGTGTCCCAGCTTCACTATGCAGCAACAGACCCTGATAAAGAGAACATTGTCTCTGAAATTGCTGCTGGCTTTTTCTTAGATTTCCGAAACTCCTCGGCTTTGCAGCAAGGTACCCCAGAACTGGTAAGCAAGAAAAGAGGTAGACCATCTAATTCTACAGGGACTGAAGCATTCGAGTTTGAGGAAATGGGCGACACATACTGGACGGACAGAGTGATCCACAATGGTGGTGAAGAGCAAACATCACCAACTGAAAAAGAAAATTATCAGGTTGTGCCAGTTGAGTTGAAACCTGCTCAGGTTCAAAGGACTCGTCGACCTTACAGAAGACGACAGACTCAGATCAATATTCCTCTTTCAGTCTCAGACAAACCGGCAAACTTTGATGAGAATGCACCAGCTGAACTTGTAATGAAGTTTTCTGAAGTGGATACGATACCTCCTGAAAAGAGCCTGAGTAAAATGTTTAGGCATTTTGGACCAATAAAGGAGTCGCAAACTGAAGTTGACAAGGAAAATAAACGGGCTAGAGTAGTTTATAGGAAGGGTGCTGATGCCGAAGTTGCTTACAACAGCGCAGGAAGGTTCAGTATTTTTGGGACGAAAGCGGTGAATTACGAGCTCAGCTATACGATAACAGAAACATTCAAAGTTCAGCCTTATGTTGTGTCTTTAGGTGAAGAGGATGCAGTAATATGCCTTCCATCATAGTTCAGGTAAATCTGCTTCTTTTATTGGCTGAATGCTTAAAATATAAATAAAGCCTACTGATATGGAAGCTGGTGTGTTGTATTCCCGAATGCATAGTATGTTCTTTCTTATTCTTGTAATGTGGATGGTAGTAATAACATAGGTAGAATGGGAAGAGACATATGCATAATATTCCCGTAGATATAAGCTAGGAAGACTAAACGATGGCCATGTCTTTGCTTCTTGTGTTGTTGTTTGCCTAAGTTGAGTTTGGATTCAAACAGAATGGTTGATCTTGTATTTCAGGTGAAAGAATCGGCATGCATCAAGAGAAGTAAACGATGACGTAGCTCAATGGATTGGATGCTCTTGCTTGCTTCTTGTTGTTGTTGTTATCCTTTAGGTAGAGATTTAGGCTGTGTAATATGAGAAATCATGTAAGTTCCAGAATTGTATCTGTTATCTTGGAGGTTAGAGAGACAGTTCCCTTTTTGTACATTTAATTTGCTGTTACTAAACCAAGTGTTGTTAGGACATTGATGGTAATGGTTATTATGTGAAGTGATCGGGAGAAGTCAGTTTGTTCAATATATGGGCAACTTATTTTAACTAAGGGTGCGAATGGTGACAACATATTTGACTGTACAGGAGAACTGAGTTTAATATGCGGTACGGTTTAATTATAATATTTAGAAAAAATATATTTGCGAGACAAGTGTTGTTTGCGATATTTATGGAACGGTAAGCAAATACTACTAATGTTTTAAAAGGTGTTTCATGTCTATATATGTTGATTAAATCCGCAAATCTCATTTTTTTTAATAAAAAAATGTTAATAAAAAAAAAATTGGTTTGAATGGTATCATGAAATGCATTCTTGGTTGGAATGCATTATTGTGTACACCATTCATGGATTTTGTTGTGCGTTAAATTTTTATAAAGAAAAGGTTCTTTTAGCACCTTTCAAACTCAAAGGGCACAATTACGACAAATTAAAAAGGTTATTTCAGCACATTTCGAAGTTCGATTTAAAAAACAAAACTTGATAAACTTTCAGGGATATATGTCAGAAATAAAAAAAACTTTCTGGGCTGGTTCGATAAACGGGATCATAAAGGTTTCTCTCTCTTCGAGTATCCCCTTCGCTTCTTCAACCTCAAAGCCCTTCCCTTTTGAGTTTCTTTACTCGAATTCTCACAAGATAATAAGAGGTAAACTCCCAAAAATTCATCTTTCTCGTTGTTGGGTCTGGAACTCTTCATACCCATTTGTCAAGTTTTGCAATTTTAAGCTCAGTCTATGTATTGAGTGATCTTCAGCTACAACCCAGATACTCTTTAATGGAGGAACAGAGAGAAGAGAGTGAGTTTTTCAATGAGTCCATGGAGGAGGAAGCTGGTAGAACTGAAACCCTAGTAGGCGAAGATACAAACACGGTACAGGTTTCGGATTCAGGTATTAGTGGGATTGATGCAGATCCAAATAATGGAGTTTTAGCTACTGAAGATGGCAATACGGATAATTTGGTTTCTGATGAGGAACAAATGAAAGCTGATGATGTTGAGGTTAATGGTGAGGAGACGAGAGATAACGCTGATGATGCTGATGTTGTTGAGGTTAGTGGTGAGGAACTTAGAGATAACGTTGATGATGATGTTGAGGTTAGTGGTGAGGAACCTAAAGATAATGTTGATGATGAAGTTTCACTGACTGATGCTAACACGGATCTCGAAGTTGAGAGAAATGGTGAGACAGCTACGTCTGAAGTTAAGACCAACCACGGTGAAAGTCATGAAAGTGTAACCTCTGGTGGGAATGAGGTATCTGATGAGAAGACAAATTGTGAAGTTGAGGATACTGGTGAGGATACTAAAGATAACGTTGTTGATGATGATGATGTTGCACTTACTGATGCTGCTATAGAGGAACCTGGAATTGGGAGAAAAGGTGAGATGGCTAACTCTGAAGTTAAGAGTAACCATGGTGAAAGTCATGAAAGTGCAGGAGAAGGGGAGAGTGTAATCTCTGGTGGGATTGAGATATCTGATGAGAAGGTAAATTGTGAAGTTGAGGATATTGCTGGAAAGAAAGCTAGCCAAGAGAAGGAATCCACAAAGAATATCGAGGACGATGATAAAAGAATGGGTGATGATGGTGAACAAGAGAAACTATGTCATTCTTACGATGAGGAGTGTAATTTGGGATGCGAGACATCAGGCGCTGATCAAGAGAAGGAATCAGCAAAGAAGAGTGACGTGAATAATAATAATATGGATGTTGATAGCAAACATGGACATGAAGAGAATGTGGGATCAGAGACCAAAGATGCTACAGTTCTAGAGGAGTCTATTCAATTGAGCGAAAAGGAAACTAATGAAGTAAATCCAGTTACAGTTTTGGAAGTTAGCTCTGCTGCTGAAATGAATGAAAAAGGAAAAATAACCAATGTTAACCAAAATGAAGAAAACGGAGAAGCCATGGAGGTTGATAATGCGACAGAGGAACAGGTGGAAGATGATGTTAAAGATATTCCAGTAGCTGAAGCTGACGTGAATACTTCAAATGTACGAGAGGAAATGGAAATTGACGAACGGAAAGATAATGCTGATGCGGCAAGTGATCTTACCGGAACAATTGTTTCTACTGATTTAGCAAACCCAAACAGTCCCTCTGAAAATGCTGATCCAGGTGAAGTTGAACCGTTGGATCATCATGCTCTTTTTGATCCAACTTCTGATATTACCAACTTTATTGATTTCAGTGGTGTATCATCTTGGTCAGGAAATATACAAGACATTAAAACCGACACCAGTAATATATCTTCGAAAGAGAATAAGAAAGCTGCTGATATGGCAGAGGAAGTTGCCTCGGTGGGTATCGAAAATGGATCGAGTGAAGCACGTGTTGCTTCTGGAGCAAAATCTCCAGCTGATGCAATTTTGGGATCTGAAGAAAATCAAGAAAGTAAAGATCATGAATGCTTAGATCAAAAAGTTACAATGAGAATGGAAGAGGACATTACTCATGAAGCCCAAAGTGTCGATCCAAACCAAAATGAAGATACAGAAATGGAAAAAGATCCCAATAATTCTATTGTAACCGGAACTGAAGCATCTGAGTTTGAGGAAATGGGCGACACATACTGGACGGATGAAGCTGGTTCTGATATTAAGACCAATGGTGTGAAACGAAAGGCTGATGTCCTGAGTGAGGATTCACCAGGAGAAGGTAGGAAGACTGTCTCATTGGCAAAGGTGTCTTTTGCACAAAGGCCCTCCTTTAAGATTGGTGCATGCATAGCCAGAGTTGCTAGTCAGATGGCAGAATCGCCTTCAGTTTTGAAGGGTAGTAACTTTGATGGTGAAACTCTTTCTGTTGAGAGTTTTGTGTCCCAGCTTCACTGTGCAGCAACAGACCCTGATAAAGAGAACGTTGTATCAGACATTGCTGCTGGCTTTTTCTTAGATTTCCGAAACTCCTCAGCTTTGCAGCAAGGTACCCCAGAAAAGGTAAGCAAGAAAAGAGCTAGACTGTCCAGTTCTAATGCAACAGGAACTGAAGCATTCGAGTTTGAGGAAATGGGCGATACATACTGGACGGACAGAGTGATCCATAATGGTGGCGAAGAACAAACATCACCAACTGAAAAAGGAAAGTATCAAATTGTGCCAGTTGAGTTGAAACCTACTCAGGTTCAGAGGACTCGTCGACCTTACAGAAGACGACAGACTCAGATCAATATTCCTCTTTCAGTCTCAGAAAAACCACCAAATTTTGATGAGAATGCACCAGCTGAACTTGTAATGAAGTTTTGTGAAGAGGATACTATACCTACTGAGAAGACCCTGAGTAAAATGTTTAGGCATTTTGGACCAATAAAGGAGTCGCAAACTGAAGTTGACAAGGAAAATAACCGGGCTAGAGTAGTTTATAGGAAGGGTGCTGATGCCGAGGTTGCTTACAACAGTGCAGGAAGGTTCAGTGTTTTTGGGACGAAAGCGGTGAATTACGAGCTCAGCTATACGATAACTGAAACTTTCAAAGTTCGGCCTTATGTTGTGTCTTTAGGCGAGGAGGATGCAACACTATGTCTTCCATCTTCAATGTAGTCGCTTCAGAGTTCAGACATTGTTCAGGTAAATATGCTTCTTTTGTTGTCCGAATGCTTAAACTATAAAATAAAGCATACTGATTTGAAAGCTGGTGTTCTGTATCTCTGAATGGATGGTTGTATTATCGTAGGTGTAGAATTTTCCTTGTAGGTAGAATGAGAAGAGACATATGCATAATATCTTTGCTTATTGTGTTGTTTTTTCCCAATCGGTATTTTATGGATTCTTCAAAGGGTCCTAAATTGAATTTGGATTCAAACAGAATGGTTGATCGTGTATTTCAGGTGAAAGAATCAAGAGAAGTAAACGATGACATAGCTCAATGGATTGGATGCTCTTGATTGCTTGTTGTTGTTGTTGTTGTTGTTGTTGTTATCCTTAAGGTAGAGATTTAGGCTGTGTAATATGAGAAATTATGTAAAAGTTCCAGAATCCTTCAAGTAATCTGTTATCTTGGAGGTTAGAGAGACAATTCCCTTTTTGTAATCTGATGACTCAACACATTTAGTTTGCTGTTACTATACCAATTGATGTTAGGACATTGATGGTCATCGGTTTGAAAAATGTTTGTTGCAAGTAACAGAGCACCACTGCATTCTTCGGTCACATCCGTATCCTCTTCATCCCTGCGCCTTAGACTTCTCAGGGCCATGGAATCCGAAACGGGGAAGTAGACAAGCAAGCAAATGGATATATATATCACGTGGTAACAGAATTCACTTGAGAAATTCGTGGGAATGATAAAAGGATCATGACTAGCTCATAATCTTTTATGTATCAATAATAAGAGATTGTTTTATTTTAAAAATGTTTTCAATTTTCACCATTACGAAAAATTGTATATTTTTTTTTATGAAAGGTTTTTTATTAGCACCTTTAAAACTCAAAGTGCACAATTACGGATAATTACAAAAGGTTATATAATCATATTTCAAAAGTTTTGATATTAAAAACAAAACATAATAAAACTTCAGGGTTATGTCTCAGAAATTGATAAAACTTCAGGGTTATGTCTCAGAAATATATAAGTAAGCTAATTCGATTAAACGGGATCGTAAGTAAATATCTCACTTCGCTTCTTCAACCTCAAAGCCCTACCGTTTTGTTTGTGTTTCCTTACTCCAAATTCTCGCAAGATCTTAGAGGTAAATTCCTAAAAATTTCATCTTTCTCGTTCTTGGTTCTTGCAAATCTGAAACTTTCCATACCCAGTTGCCAAGTTTCGCATTTTTGTTAGTGTAAGATCCATCGATGTACTGAGTGATTTTGAGCTGCAACCTAGATACTCTTTTAATGGAGGAACAGAGAGAGGAGAGTGAGTTTTGCAATGAACCCATGGAGGAGGAAGCTGGTAAGGGATTTGGTTTATCTTCTGAAACTGAAACCCTAGGTGGTGAGGATACAAACACGGTACAGGTTTCGGATTCAGGTGTTTCCGGTGTTAGTGGGATTGAAGCAGATCCAAATAATGGAGATGGCAATACGGATAATTTGGTTTCTGATCAGGAACATGTGAAAGCTGATGATGTTGAGGAGACAGAAGATAACGTTGATGATGATGATGATGTTGTTGAGGTTAGTGGTGAGGAGACTAGAGATAACGTTGATAATGATGTTGAGGTTAGTGGTGAGGAGACTAAAGATAACGTTGATGTTGCACTGACTGATGCTACTACGGATCTTGAAGTTGAGAGAAAAGGTGAGACGGCTAAGTCTGAAGTTAAGAGTAACCATAGTGAAAGTCATGAAAGTGCAGGAGAAGGGGAAAATGTAACTTATGAGAATAATGGTGATTACGAGAACAAGGCTGAGGAATCACCAAAGAAGAGTGAAATGGATGATAAGAATATGGAAGATGATAGCAAACAGGGAAATGAGGAGAATGTGGGATCAGAGACCGGAGATGCTATAGTTCCAGAGGAGTTTAATCAATTAAGCGAAAGGGAAACAAACGAAGTAATTCCAGGTACTGTTTCGGAAGTTAACCAAAATGAAGAAAATGGAGAAGCCATGGAGATTGATAATGAGGCAGAGGAACAAGTGGAAGATGATGTTAAAGATATTCCAGTAGCTGAAGCTGACGTGAATGAACTAGAGGAAATGGAAATTAGCGAACGGAAAGATAATGCTGATGCGGCAAGTGATCTTACCGGAACAATTGTGTCTACTGATTTAGCAAACCCAAACAGTCCCTCTGAAAATGCTGATCCAGGTGAAGTTGAACCGTTGGATCATCATGCTCTTTTTGATCCAACTTCTGATATTACCAACTTTATTGATTTCAGTGGTGTATCATCTTGGTCAGGAAATATACAAGACCTTAAAACCGACACGAGGAATATATCTTCGAAAGAGGATAAGAAAGCTGCTGATATGACAGAGGAAGATGCCTTGGTGGGTATTGAAAATGGATCGAGTGGAGCAAACTCTCCAGCTGCTGCTATCTATTGTTCAAAAGAGGCCTCTGATACAATTTTGGTATCTGAAGAAAATCAAGAAAATAAAGATCATGATAAGGAAACAGCAGATCAAAAAGATACAATGAGAGAGGAAGAGGACATTACTCATGAAGCCCAAAGTATCAATCCAAACCAAAAGGAAGATACAGAAATGGAAGAAGATCCCAATAGTTCTACTGTAACAGGAACTGAAGCATACAAGGTTGAGGAAATGGGCGACACATACTGGACGGACAGAGTGATCCATAATGGTGGTGAAGAGCAAACATCACCGACTGAAAAAGGAAATTATCAAGTTGTGCCAGTTGAGTTAAAACCTGCTCAGGTTCAAAGGACTCGTCGGCCTTACAGAAGACGACAGACTCAGATCAATATTCCTCTTTCAGTCTCTGGCAAACCGGCAAACTTTGATGAGAATGCACCAGCTGAACTTGTAATGAAGTTTTCTGAAGTGGATACTATACCTCCTGAGAAGAGCCTGAGTAAAATGTTTAAGCGTTTTGGACCAATAAAGGAGTCGCAAACTGAAGTTGACAAGGAAAATAAACGGGCTAGAGTAGTTTATAGGAAGGGTGCTGATGCCGAGGTTGCTTACAACAGCGCAGGAAGGTTCAGTATATTTGGGACGAAAGCTGTGAATTACGAGCTCAGCTATACGATAACTGAAACATTAAATGATCGGCCTAATGTTGTGTCTTCAGGCGAGGAGGATGCAGCACTATGTCTCCCATCCTAGATGTAGTCGCTTCAGGCATAGTTCAGGTAAATCTGCTTCTTTTGTTATCCAAATGCTTTAACTATAAAATAAAGCCTTACTGATTTGAAAGCTGGTGTGCTGTATCTCTGAATGTATAGTATATTCTTTCTTCTCCTTTTATTATGGATGGTAGTAATAATAACATAGGTGTAGATTTTTCAGTGTAGGTAGTCTAAGAAGAGACATATGCATAATATCTTTACTTCTTGTTTTTATGGATTCTTCAAGGAGTCCTAAATTGAATTTGGATTCAGACAGAATGGTTGATCTTGTATTTCAGGTGAAAGAATCGGCATGCATCAAGAGAAGTACACGATGACGACGTAGCTCAATAGATTGGATGCTCTTGCTTCTTCTTGTTGTTGTTGTTGTTATCCTTTAGGTAGAGATTAAGGTTTTAGGGGAGATCATGCAAGTTCAAGAATTCTATCTGCTATCTTGGAGGTTAGAGAGACAGTTCCCTTTTTGTATTCTAAGAGATCGATAGAAGTTTAATGATTTTGCCAATACCGTAGTTCGATCAAATCTTTATACGGATCGATCAATTTCTTAGTGTCCGATTCTCAAAGCTGAAACATGAAATTATATTAGAGTTTCTTCAAGATATCTAATGGCATGTAGCTAAAATATGGATTATTTTTGAAGTCGAGAAGATTTATAAAGCTCTCTTACTCCACGCTAACATGTTATTAACTAGAACTAGTATATATCATATGAAAAGTTGATAGGATACTACGTACTAATATTTGATTACATTCACAAATCTATATATAGTCGATCACACTCACAAGCAATTAACTATAAACTACAATTATTGTTGACCATATTCACATTTATTGAGCTATATAATTCCAATCACAAGTTAAGTAAACATGTAGATGTAATTAAACATTAGAGATGTTTTGATATATTATGATGATTGTTATGAACAGTTCTCACAAAACAATGAATCTTAAGGTGCAGATTTCAATGCGACACTCAAATCTACTACAATAGAAAGTTCTGCTTGTACGACATCCCCATTAGGACAGACCTATAGCTTGAGGTATGGGTGCAACTAGTCCTGGGCGTTCAGATATTCAGTTTGGTTTTGATTCGGTTACTTTCGATTTCGGTTCGGTTTCAGATCTTGAACAAAAAACTGATCTAATTATTTAATATTTTTGGATTATTTTTGGTTTGGTTTTAACCAAAAAAAATTGGATATGTTATGATATTCAGAAATTTTGGGATATTTTTGAGTATTTTTATATTTTTAGGTGCTGCTTTGTTTCGGATATTTGCATATTTTGAATGTTTTTTAGTTGTTTGGTTTGACTATCGGTTATCTTTGTTTCTTTTTATATATTTTTTTAAAAGTTTTTTTTGTCTAAAAAACAAATATTTTAAGTATATAAATTGTATTTTAAATATTTCGGATATCCATTCGGTTTCAGTTCGGTATAATTTGGTTTTGGATACTTTCGGATCTTGAGTATAAGATCCATTTGGTCTTTAAAAATTTTTGATTTGGTTTCGGTTCCGTTTTTTTAGGCTCGGTTTTGGTTCGGTGCATTACAACCGTGCAAGCGCCCTCATCAAAAATTAATAAACCTTCATTTCTCAATGTAAATAAAAAATATGGTTTACATTTTTCCTGCTTGCTCTAATATCTAAAATTTAAAGGATAATGTCCTATTTCCTCACCCAAACTATGACATCATATTTTATAGAGCTCACACCACGTCTTATATGTTCTCAGAAAAAATTTCTTCAAACCTAGTTCCCCACGAATGCATAGTTTCCACCTAATTCCTCATAGATCTTGGTTTAGTCGGTTTACAAACTAAACCAAATACCAAGCTGCTTAACATTGATACCAAACCAAATTTAAAACCGATCCAATTCATAAATGATCCGAGCCAATATCTATTCATTCTCCATCCAATTTCTCAAGAAAAAAGAAAACAAAAATCAAATTTGATGAAAATTTAAAATTACAAAAGCAGAAACATAGCAAAGATATTATCACGTGCTTAAGTGAACTGTCATTGATAATCTCTCTCGCCACTTTCTCCAAACTTTCAAAATGTAGCAAAATGAATCCATATCACAATTTTGAGCCCATATCAAAACTTCAAGAACCTAAATAATAAAAAGAGAGAAAAATCATTGAGTGATTAATCCACCCTTCTTCTTCCTCCATCTTCTTCTCTATGATCTTAAACTATATACAACCTTTAACGATAATCACTGATCTCGCGACTCCACTTACAGAAGAAGATATCGAGTTAGGTCATTTACAAATCAGGCCGGCTTTTATTTGGATTAAAATCAGATTTAATGAGGTTATTTTTTTCCATTTTTTGGTTAATCAAACATTAAACTATGCATTCATGTGAATATAGGTTGAGAAATAATTTTTCATAGTTGTATAAGACATTGACTCTGATACAATTCGATAGTTCTCATAGAAAAATATGATTTTTTCCAAAAATTAATCAATTTTTGCCCCCAACAAAAAAATGTTTGTAGATCCCATAATGGACATGCTCTCTCTACAACTCACGAAAACACTACAAACAACTCTATATGCGACATTTTGGTAAGCAAGTTCAGTGGGATTCAAACTCTAATTTAGTATATAAGTGTTAATACATCATGTATTTAGTTAAAAGTTAAAACCATTAATAAAAGAATTTTCAGAAATAAACATTACTTCAAATAGAATAGTTAACTTAATTATTTGTGAATGTAATACATAGAGGTGGTATATGTATAAGTTCTAATTACAGTCAGTTTTAATTGTTCGTTAAATTTTTATAATGAAAGGTTATTTTAGCACCTTTTAAATTCAAAGTGCACAATTACGGCAAATTAAAAAGGTTATTTTAGTACATTTCGAAACTTTTGATCTTAAATATAAAACTTGATAAAAGATTGGGGACTGTGTCAGAAATAAAAGTTCGATTAAACGAGATCGTATGTTTTCTCTCTCCTAGAGCATCTTCTACAATTCGCTTCTTCAAGCTCAAAGCTCTTCCCTTTTGTGTTTCTTTACTCAAATTCTCGCAAGATCTTAGAGGTAAATTCCAAAAAAATCGTCTTTCTCGTTTTTGATTCTGGAACTTGTCTTACCCAGTTGCCAAGTTTCGTAATTTCGTTTGTGTAAGATCCATCGATGTATTGAGTGATTTTGAGCTGCAACCCGGATACAGTTTTAATGGAGGAACAGAGAGAGGAGAGTGAGTTTTTCAATGAGCCCATGGAGGAGGAAGCTGGTAAGGGATTAGGTTTACCTTCTAAAACTGAAACCCTAGGTGGTGAGTTTACAAACACGGTACAGGTTTCGGAATTAGGTGTTAGTGGGATTGATGCAGATCCAACTAATGGAGTTTTAGCTACTGGAGATGGCAATATGGATCATTTTGTTTCTGATGAGGAACATGTGAAAGCTGATGATGATGTTGAGGTTAGTGGGGAGGAGATTAAACATAACGTTGAAGATGATGATGTTGTTGAGGTTACTGGTGAGGAACCTAAAGATAATGTTGTTGATGATGTTGCACTGACTGATGCTACCACAGATCTTGAAGTTGAGAGAAATGGTGAGACGCCTAAGTCTGAAGTTAACCATGGTGAAAGTCAGGAAAGTGCAGGAGAAGGGGAAAGTGTTATCTCTGGTGGGAATGAAGTATCTGATGAGAAGGAAAATTGTGAAGTTGAGGATATTGCTGAAACGAAAGCTGGCCAAGAGAAGGAGGATGATAAAGGAATGGGTGGTGATGGCGAACAAGAGAAACTATGCGAGACATCTGATGTTATTCAAGAGAAGGAATCAGCAAAGAAGAGTGAAGTGGATGATAATAATATGGATGATGATAGCAAACAGGGGAATGAAGAGAATGTGGGATCAGAGACCAAAGATGCTATAGTTCTAGAGGAGTCTATTCAATTGAGTGAAAGGGAAACAAACGAAGTAAATCCAGGTACTGTTTTGGAAGTTAGCTCTGCTGCTGAAATAAATGATGAAGGACAAATAACCAATGTGAACCAAAATGAAGAAAACGGAGAAGCCATGGAGGTTGATAATGCGACAGAGGAACAGGTGGAAGATGATGTTAAAGATATTCCAGTAGCTGACGCTAATGTGAATACTTCAAATGTACGAGAGGAAATGGAAATTGACGAACGGAAAGATAATGGTGATGCGGCAAGTGATCTTACCGGAACAATTATTTCTACTGATTTAGCAAACCCAAACAGTCCCTCTGAAAATGCTGATCCAGGTGAAGTTGAACCGTTGGATCATCATGCTCTTTTTGATCCAACTTCTGATATTACCAACTTTATTGATTTCAGTGGTGTATCATCTTGGTCAGGAAATATACAAGACATTAAAACCGACACCAGGAATATTTCTTTGAAAGAGGATAAGAAAGCTGCTGATATGGCAGAGGAAGATGCCTTGGTTGGTATTGAAAATGGATCGAGTGGAGCATGTGTTGCTTCTGGAGAAAAATCTCCACCTGCTGCCATCGATTGTTCAAAAGAGGCCTCTCATGCAATTTTGGGATCTGAAGAAAATCATGAAAACAAAGATCATGAATGCTTCGATAAGAAAACAGCAGATCAAGAATATACAACGAGAGAGGAAGAGGACATTACTCATGAAGCCCGAAGTATCGAGCCAAATCAAAAGGAAGATACAGATATGGAAGAAGATCCCAGTAATTCTAATGTAACGGGAACTGAAGCATTCGAGTTTGAGGAAATGGGCAACACATACTGGACGGATGAAGCTGGTTCTGATATTAAGGCGAATGGTGTGAAACGAAAGGCTGATGTCCTGAGTGAGGATTTACCAGGAGAAGGTAGGAAGACTGTCTCATTGGCAAAGGTGTCTTTTGCACAAAGGCCCTCCTTTAAGATTGGTGCATGCATAGCCAGAGTTGCTAGTCAGATGGCAGAATCGCCTTCAGTTTTGAAGGGTAGTAACTTTGATGGTGACACTCTTTCTGTTGAGAGTTTTGTGTCCCAGCTTCACTATGCAGCAACAGACCCTGATAAAGAGAACGTTTTATCTCACACTGCTGCTGGCTTTTTCTTAGATTTCCGAAACTCGTCGGCTTTGCAGCAAGGTACCCTAGAAAAGGTAAGCAAGAAAAGAGGTAGACCATCCAATTCTAATGTGACAGAAACTGAAGCATTTGAGTTTGAGGAAATGGGCGACACATACTGGACAGACAGAGTGATTCATAATGGTGGTGAAGAGCAAACGTCACCGACTGAGAAAGGAAATTATCAAGTTGTGCCAGTTGAGTTGAAACCTGCTCAGGTTCAAAAGACTCGTCGACCTTACAGAAGACGACAGACTCAGATCAATATTCCTCTTTCAGTCTCAGACAAACCGGCAAACTTTGATGAGAATGCACCAGCTGAACTTGTAATGAAGTTTTCTGAAGTGGATACTATACCTGCTGAGAAGAGCCTGAGTAAAATGTTTAGGCATTTTGGACCAATAAAGGAGTCGCAAACTGAAGTTGACAAGGAAAATAACCGGGCTAGAGT